CGGCAGTTCTGACTCACAGTCTGTAAGTACGTTTTCATTTAAAGGACTTGCCACTGATGATTCAAACGCGAGTTTTGGGCAGTGTAGAGTAGCGCTTGTTGTTTGTCATTTCTCCGATCACAAATGCAGACAGAGTTTTATGTTTACGCGGCGCGATGCAATGCAACGCGTAAAAAGATCAGTATAAGTCATTATAATCAGTAATTATGTCCCCACTGGATGCAACAAATGCCTAGTTTGTAATGGGTTTTAATGTTTTTGTCTCGTCGCTCCAGCCGGGACACGGCATCAACAGTATGGTGAGGGGCGTAACATTTCCGTCTCATGCTTGAGGTATTCGGCCAATCACAACGCATTGGATAGCTGGCCAATCACAGCACACCTCGCTTTTTCAGACCTTTGCTTTGTAAAAATCGACGCGTTTGTTGTAAAAAAGGCGGGGCATAGAGGAGAAACAATAATGTACAGTATGTGGAAAATAATGTGTTTTTTTTACTTTAAACCGCATAAACACATTTCATTACACCAAATACACAAAAGAATGTTCTTTTTAGCAGCATCATATGACCCCTTTAAATGATAAAGAAAGAAAAAAAAGGCTAAAAATGTGTTGCTCTCATGAACTGACACTGCTAATACCTGATTTTTCTGGTTGATTTTGTAAGACCAGAATGAACACTTACTATTTTAGTTTACCAGCATTCTGTTTTAAGTTTCATTCAATGCTTTGCTTTGGTAATAGGAGTTCCTTGGAGGCCACACATCTAAAAAATGCCCAGGCTCTGTCTTCATTCTGAATGTGAATGAAGCGCTTTTGATTGGCAGCTCTTTAGTCTTAATCCGCTAAGAGGGCTCTCCAGAGAGCTAGAATTGGGGAGGATGGGGTAAGAGAGAAGGGTGTTCACGGTGTTGACCCATGCACTTATGGAAACGGTCTGCTGAATCATCCCACTTCTGGCACAATTGGACAACAGCTGGGCCTGGGAAGGCTCAGATCCCAAAAAGCCCATTTTGGAAATAGGCATTCATACTGGTAGTGTTTAAAAGATAGAGCCTTGAGATCCCTACAGTCCATTTGTGGGCAGTAACAGACCAGTTGACTTGTGGTAACAATCAAGTTGTTGCCAAAAAAAACTAAATATATATTGAGAAATGTGAATGAATGTCCAGATTTTGACTCTTAGTAAAAGTTGTCACATAACATTACACAATTCTGGTTTGCAATCTTTTTTTTTTTTTTGATGGTCACCATTCTGTTTTCCTTGAAGCAACTTGCCATGATAACAAGACTTCGTCTTTCTGTGTCTCCACAGCTGCTAGGATCCCTGAAGAGGAAATTGACTGGGGCCGTCGAGAGTTCTGCATCTCTAAACGGGGTCTCTGACACGTCTATGACCCAGGGAGGTGGCAAACGTCTATGTCTGGAAGATGTCACCCTGGCCATGGGCCCCAGCTACCCTCAGCCCCCATTCCCTTCTGGGATGGACAACCAGGGGGGTGTTCTGGAAGCTAATCGACTGAACAGCAACAACAACAATTTGGGGTCTCCATATTCCATACCCCCAAATGCTAGTCCTGGATCAACGCCAGGGACCGGGGGAGGCTCAGGGGGCTTGACAAGTCACTTCAACCCAAATGGGAATTCGGCCACTCCTTCAGTGGAACAAGAACTGCAGGACATTTTGGATGAACTTACAAAGAACCCTGATCCCTCTTTACCTGAGCTTGACATTGAGAAGATCTTAGGAAAAGAAAGTGATGACCAGGCAAGTAGTGCTGGAGGTTTTGTGCACCTAGAGGGTAATGGCACCCCCAAAAGGTCTCCACAGAGACAGTCACACCTAGAGACCCACCTCACTCAGTCCCCTGGTTTCTCTCAAGCTGGGTCCCCTCAAGTGGGTCCAAGTCCTGCTGGAGCACCATATACTCTACCACACCCTTCCAAAACAGTTCCGTCTCCACTCTCAGCATCACCCCTGTCCTCCTCCTCTTCACAAGGGCAAAATCAAGCACGATCACCCATGCTTTCTGCTGCCTTATCAAGCCGGGCCGGATCCAACTGGCATGAGGTGTCCCGGGCCCAACAGCTTCAGCAGATGGCATCGAATAGTAAGCATCATTCCAACAACAGTGCAGGTCCCCCACCTGCACAGTCGGGGTTGTCTGGATTGGGCCAGCAGAGTACTTCTTGGGCTGGTCCCTCTCCACCTTACCGACCAGGGGATAAACTGCCTAACTCATCGCCTCATCAGCAGCCCTTCAGCCCAGCAGGTAATATTCAGAGCCCCCAGAGTTCTCTAATCTCTAGCATGACTCCAGCCCCATCCACCGGACCTTCACCACCCTACAGGCCAGAAAAGCTAGCCAGCCCAGCAATTGCTCAGCCCCCTTTCAGCCCCCAGAACAGCATTCTGTCTGGAAATGCCCCACCAGGAGTTTCAGGCACTGCAATCCAAGGTTCTCAGGCAAGTTATCTTCCTGGTGTGGCCCCAGCATCAAACAACACTCGACCATCACCTCCTTACCGACCAGATAAACATCAGAGTCCAGCTGGGCAATGCCAACAAGGAACACAACCTCACACACAAGGGCATATTTTCAACTCACAAAATACTCAAGCACCTGCAATGTCTAGTCAGCTGTTCAAGGCCATCACATCCAACCAGCCACCCAGTAGCCTCAAGCTCCTAATGCAGGCACAGGGAAAACCCTCACAGCTGCAACTAAACAAGACCACCACAGCTGGTATGGGTCCAGAACCATACTCTTTCAACAACACCAAGCCGTTACGTCATTTTGACCCCAATCCCTCTGTGACCAAACTGGGTCCTCTGACTGTGGGAGCATACCGCAATGCTAGCATGCAGCCCACAACGCCCACATCAGCCACAGGACATGGACATCTTTTGCCACAGCGTGTGCAAAGGGGGATGCCTGCTGGTGGTATCGTGCCTCACTGCAGAGATGTGAGTACCATTGCTTGCTTGTTAAACTTATGTGTGGAATGTCATATATTACAAAACATATTTTCACAAATGATATAAAGCCAGACAGTTAGTATAAAAATCAACTTTTGATGTGACCTTTAGGAAATTCATTACCTTCAGGAATAGTGCTTTCTTTATGTCTAACTTGATGTGTTTTATAAATGTAGAAAATAGAGTTGAATACAGAACAGTCTCTGTCAGTTTGTACAAGTTTCACTATATAGTGTATAGGTGATGCGAGTACATTTTACTTTCTTTTACCCCAGGTTAATGTGCAGAGACAAATTAAATTAAGCCAGTCTTTGGCTGACTTTCCAAAGAGTGTAAACTTATTTGTTCTTAGATGGTCTGGCCAAACAGCGGAAGATGGGAGCGGGGTGGATGTAGACCATTTTATTTTTGTGATTCTATTTGGTGTCAGTAGTGGCACGAAACTGACACTTTACTTTTAAGTGCAAGCAATAGATGACCTCTATAGTTGTTATTTCCTAAGACTGTGATGCATCTGTGTTGTCTTCAAAATTCTTGATTTATAGAGTCGGCAGATGATTTAGCGCATTGAAAAAGTATAAAAAGAATTACGTTTTATACAGGTCTTCTAGAAGTAAGCAATTAAAAATCCAAAGATATAAGAAGAGGGAATTACAGCCCTGGTTTTCCCATTAGCTTGTGGAGCTTTGGGTGTGCTCACTTCATACTGGGGGAGACTGTTTCTGAAAGATGGAGTGAGCACCCTGTGGTGTGTACCATGGGAAGGGAGGGGAGTGGGTGTTCCAACTCTGATGTGTGTATAAGGGGGGCAGTTAGGAAGCTCCAACGGTTAATTGAATGGACAGCTGAACAGAGTGAAGGAATGTGAGTCTTTGTATGTGATTAGCATTCATGCTAAAAGGCTGAACATGCTCAGTCCATCTCTGTTAATTAGGATAGGGCCAAAAATTACTGTTCTTTCAGTTGTTTTGTTACTGTGTCATGTCTAAAAATATTATTTCTTGAATGAAAAAAAGAGAAGATATAGAGTTTTATAAATGTTTTGCTCTGAAGTGAGAATATGTGTTTGTTTATGTAGTAAAGAGCAAAGGCTTTGTGACTCCCTCTCTCTCTCTCTC